CAGGGGTCTTCACAAACAGCCCAGAAGGCCACAGCAGCAGCTGTGAAGAAAAGCTAGCGGGGGTGGGGGTGGGGGGGGTGGCTGGAGCTGATGCAGGGCAGTGGAGGCAGGGCAGTGGAGGCAGGCACGAGGGGCAAACTGGGAGCTTTCTAGGATGGAAAAAGTGAGTGGGGGGAGAAGCCCAGTTTCCAAATGAAGTGAACCAGTGGATGGCAGCTTTCTCTCCCATCCACCAAGCTAATTTATATTTTATTTCAATACCCAAATGTCACCTCCTGGTGTGCAAGGTCCTGAAAGCTGGAAAGATACAGAGAAGCATAAACTTCTCCAGGAAACAGGGAACAGTGGCTGCCTGATGAAGCAGAGCCCAGATGGAAGCAGCAGCTACAAGAAAGTTAAGAACCACTGCGGCGACTGAAAAGAAAGAGCAGCCGGTGTGAGAGCAGGAGAGGACACAGGTGCTCTGCAAACAGCAGAAAAGCACCTGCGGACCAGCACTGTGCCAGGTGCTTTCACACATAAAACAACCGAGTTTAACCCTTAACACAATCCCACCAAAGCACTTCCTTCCCCTTTTCTGCAGAAGAGGATCCTGAGGTTCAGAGGTGGAGTGATCTGTCTCAGGCCTAAGTTTGGTGATATAACTACTATTTTCTTTCTGCTAAATATTAAAACAACTTATGCTTTTAAATTCCCAATCCAGTGACATCTTGAAAAGAATGGGAACACAAGTGAAAAAAGTAAGCAATCCCTTTATGCTCTGATTCATGACATTCTATATATTAATATAAAAAGCTCTTTGGTATTTAAACAACCTCTTTAGAGTATCAGTCTAGCTAAGAGCAACTCTGGTAAGTCCCACTTAACAAGTAAACTCTTAATTAACATTTACTTTAAATAGAAAGATTACTGTTTGCTCAGGCCCCAAGCCTTGGTCACCTCGACTTCTTTTTCTGTCTCTTAGATCAAAGCATTCCATCAGCGAAACCCACCATCCCTGCCTTCAGACTACACCTGGGCCGTGACCTCCCCCCGCCCGCTGCCATCTGGCACCCACAGGCCTCCCCACCGCCCAGCCCCCTGTTTTTTGTCTCGCGGCTCCACAATCAATTCTCAAGCCAGCAGCTGCAACTGACCCTTTCTTTCAAAACATCAATCACACCATTTCACTCCTTTGCTAAAACTCACCAAACGTTCCCCAACTCCCCTGAACAGGTGACCTGCACACCAAGGATGGTCTGCAAATCCCTGTGCCAGGAGACTCCCCTACCATCTACAGCCCCACCTCCTCACCACCACCATCCCCGCCCCCGGGCTTTCTCAGCTCCAACCACACTGAGCTCCCTGTTGCCCTTTGCCCACACGAGCCACGCATGACACCTCAGGGCCTTTACACTGCCTGCCTCTCCCTCTAGGCTGGACACTCTTGCCCCAGATATAACCACAAGGCTCACTCCCTTTCCTCCGAGCCTTTGCTCAAATGTCACTTACTCCACGAGGCCTATCCTGACCGCCTCATCTAAAATTGCACAGCCCATACCCTAACCCAGCTTCACCTCCTCACAGCACGACCCCGTCTACACCACCACGTGCCTTACTCTGCACCTCGCCCGCTGTCTGACTGCCCCACTGCAATGCACTCTCCACGGCGGGAAGGACGTCGTCGGTTCTGCACGCCACCTCCGGGGCCTCACTGCTAAAACGGAAAGTAAAATGTGCAGGCCGCATTGCACACATTCTTCTAAGCCCTGCAGGTAATGAGGGCGCGGCAGAGGGAAGTTCTATTATTCTAGAGGCCACAACCATAGGGAAAGCATCAGAGATTCTAGGTATCAGGACCCGACACGAAGCTCCACGACAGCGTGGCCTGCCTCAGTCTTGGGCGCTGCTTCACCTCCAGGACCCAGCACAGGGGCTTGAAAAATATTTACTGCATGAATACGTGAATTACACATGTTGTAAACCTTGCTTTTCTTCCCCCATAAGAATGGAAAAAGAAAAATTGATATAAATTCTACAAAAACCATGTGGAATGCCCTTCCTCATCCCACATAAAAAATAAATCACACAACTGTAGTATTCTGATACTCCAATCAGAACTGCAGATTTTAGTAGAGCAATAGTGAAACTAATGTGTGAGATCAGACGGCTAGCAAACAATGCCATAAGCAAGATCAGTGAGCAGAAAAACCCTTCATACACTGTATAATTTTGTCCAATCCGGCTTCCCTACAGAAACCTGGCCTTAAATAAGAAAGTCACTGGGAAAGAACTATTAAGAAACAAACTGCTTGTAAATGTCACAAAAGCAGCTCACAGAGATACAACTCTGACTTTCACAGTTCTCAGACGGTTATCATGGTTTTACTAGTTTGCCTTAAGTTAGTACCAAAACTTTAGGGCAGTACTTCTTACAAGAGTAAAGCACTGGTAAATGCTTTTATGTCAACCAACAGGAGGAATGTAAAAGAACACTATAATTCACATTATACACACACAATTCAAAATTTACCTTCATTAATCAAAAGTTAAAGACTGAAATAAAATCAAAACTTTCACAATATGATGCCTCCACTGGCAACTGATAGTTACAACATACCCTAACTTCTGCAGCCGGGTATCCTGTTCTAAGTTTACTTCCAGTTAAGACTCATAGAATTACCACTTCTGTGTCATTGCGCCTCACTGTTTCCACCACAAACACAGAAAAAATTTTTTCTGAAAATTTTAGTATCAATAAAAATTATGACTTGGTAAGAACTAAAGAAATTCAAGCTTAACAATGGCTATAATCACCTTCTGAAGACAAACAGACAATAGGTCGCAAAACACAAAATATTCCGAAAGGTCTTGGTATTGGTATTACTTGCTTTCCCTGCCAACTTTCATAACAATTACCATACCTCCCTTCCATTAATCTGGAGGAACTCTGGGGAAGCTGAGGAAGGCACTGAATTTGCAACTGGAAGACGCAAAGGAGCCCCAGTTCTATCCGTAAGACAAAGAAAGAATCATTTCACCATCCTGAACCTAAGTCTGTTCACCTGTAAAACAAGGACAATGACAATACCTATCACCTATTGAACAGTGATGACGTGTCAATCACAAAAGAGCAGAACAGCAACACTAATAATGATGAAAATATAATAATAATGATGATGCCAAGCTAATGCTTACTACGTACCCAGCCCTGTTCTAAGTACTTTTATCCCACAATAGAGGCAGACTCTATTACCCCCACTGCACAGATGAAGAAACTGGAGCACAGAGAGATAACTTGTTCCAGGTCACAGAGCTTCTAAGGTGCAAAGCTGGAAATCAAACTCAGCCAGCCAGGCTCCACAGTCTGTGTTCCTCATTAATTTGCTGAGTGCTTTACACCTATTTTCTCAATTAGTACTTACAACAACCAATGAGGTAGATGATATTATAATCCACATGTGACATGTGAACAAACTGAGGAACAGAGAGATTAAGTAACATACCTAACATCAAGCTAGTTGGTCAGCGGCAGAGCTGGGATATGCACGGGCACTCGGACACCCGCCAGACCACACACTTCAACCACCACCTACAGTGATGCTACCTGCAGAGACTGCAAAGCTTTCCAGAGAGAGTCAGAAAGCAGGCCCCACCCAACCTACAGAGGATGACTGAGTCAGAGTGAGGACCAAAGGGACAAGAAAGGAAGGGAAGAAACACGCCCACGGAAAGAACGCAAGACAGACGGGCCACTCTCTCCCCTACACAACATCCCATCACAGTCCCTGGTGTCAGCAATCCTGCCAAAAACAAATTCAGGTAAGATGCTGGACATGCAGCTGGTACCTGAGAGATGCATCAAAACCACCAGGAGATAAACATACCACTGGATTAAGCCACACTGAGATATATGAAACAGAAGGAAAATGCCTTCTAGAAAGTCAGAAGGGCTTCCCTGGTGGTGCAGTGGTTAAGAATCTGCCTGCCAATGCAGGGGACACAAGTTCCAGCCCTGCTCCAGGAAGATCCCACAGGCCGTGGAGCAACTAAGCCCGTGCACCACAACTGCTGAGCCTGTGCTCTAGAGCCCATGAGCCACAACTACTGAGCCCACGTGCCACATCTACTGAAGCCCACGCACTCTAGAGCCTGTGCTCCACAAGAGAAGCCGCGCGCCGTAATGAAGAGTAGCCCCGCTCGCTGCAACTAGAGAAAGCCTGCACGCAGCAACGAAGACCCAACACAGCCAAAAATAATAAATAAATTCAAAAAATTAAAAGGCAGAAAATTTTGAACTTATTATTAATCTAAACAATACTCAGAACTTCCCTGGTGGTGCAGTGGATAAGACTCTGCACTCCCAATCCAGGCGGCCTGGGTTTGATCCTTGGTCAGGGAACTAGATCCCACATGCATGCTGCAACTAGAAGTTCACATGCCACAACTAAGGAGTCTGCATGCTGCAACTAAGGAGTCCTGGAGCTGCAACTAAGGAGTCCACCTGCCACAACTAAGACCCAACGCAACCAAATTAATTGATTAATTAATTAACTTTTAAAAACAATGCTAAACTAGAATATTTCCAGAGACACTAATTCGTGGCCATTTCTTGTTTATTTTGCCATGTAAAAGAGCAGCGCTAAATTCCAGGTTTAAAAACTGCTGGGAGGTTACTCGCCATTAAGTTTAAGAGGGAAAAAAAGGGTCCTGAAATGTGTAAGAAGAATGCTTCCTTAGTTTTTCAAATATAGTGAGTGGTAGAGGTATAGTAACATAGGATGGGACAAGACACCAAAATTTTCAACCTAACTACATATGTTATAGAGGGGTATTCTGTTTATATTAACCAAAATGACACAAGTATCAAAAGGCAATCGAGTATTTATTTTAATGTTGCAACTGTTCAAATCAACTTTGAAACTTTTACTGTATTGGGCATGCATATACATATCCAACTTACCTCATCATTTCCTCACCATACCCTATAAATCCAATTTATCCACAGTTTGACCACTCACCTTATTTAGCAAATAGCGAAGGTAGGACTGGCTCCCCGAATTAGGTAACTGAAGCGGAGAGAACCTCTGGAGTCTTGCTAGAAATCAGGCCATGTGGTTGCAGGTTGCAAGCAGCTATAGCTGGAAGGGGCGCTGGTGCCAGGGGGACCCCTGGTGGTGAATGAGTCTCTTCTGCAACCTACATTCCTCAGCTATAAAGAGGGAGACGTCAACCATCTACACTTTAAATTATCCCTCGCTGTGGCCTGGAAAAGGAAAGTGTTTCTACAATGTGACTCTATACTCCATTTTCAAGAAACACTAGAAACACCCAGTATGGATCCAGTCCTTTCTTCAATCATATTCTGAGTAAGAGGCACAAATAAGATGGCGTCTCTTCCCAAACACAGCTGCGTAGTGGTTGCTTTTCTTTGTCAATCGGCCTCCTCTATGATTTTGCTCTTGTCACACTGGTATCAACAGACATTATTCTAACTTAGCAAAAATTTACAGAGTCACTTTTCCAACTCTACCTAAAAATTTTTATCATTAAAAAACGTTATTAGGGGGCTTTCCTGGTGGCGCAGTGGTTAAGAATCCGCCTGCCAATGCAGGGGACACGGGTTCGAGCCCTGGTCCAGGAGGATCCCACATGCCGCGGAGCAGCTAGGCCCATGCGCCACAACTGCTGAGCCTGCGCTCTAGAGCCTGTGAGCCACAACTACTGAGCCCGCATGCCACAACTACTGAAGCCCACGCGCCTAGAGCCGGTGCTCCGCAACAAGAGAAGCCACCGCAGTGAGAAGCCCGTGCACCGCAACAAAGAGTAGCCCCCGCTCGCCGCAACTAGAGAAGACCCGTGCACAGCAACAAAGACCCAGTGCAACCAAAAATAAATAAAATAAATAAATTTATTAAAAACAAAAACAAACAAACAAACAAAAATGTTATTAGGGACTTCTCTGGTGGTCCAGTGGTAAAGAATCCGCCTTCCAATGCAGGGGACAGGGGTCCGATCCCTGGTCAGGGAACTAAGATCCCACATGCCATGGGGCAACTAAGCCTGCACGCCACAAACTACTGAGCCCAAACGCCTCAACTGGAGCCCACGCACCATTTGCAGAAACATGGATGTGACTAGAGATTATCATACTAAGTGAAGTAAGTCAGAAAGAGAAAGACAAATACCGTATGATATCACTTATACGTGGAATCTAAAATATGGCACAAATGAACCTATCGATGAAACAAGACTCACATATAGAGAACAGACTTGAGGTTGCCGCCAAGGGGGATGGGGAGAGGGAGAGAATGGACTGGGAGCTTGGGGTTGGTAGACTCAAACTATTACATTTAGAATGGATAAACAAGGGCTTCCCTGGTGGCGCAGTGGTTAGGAATCCGCCTGCCAATGCAGGGGACACGGGTTCGAGCCCTGGTCCGGGAAGATCCCACATGCCACGGAGCAACTAAGCCTGTGCGCCACAACTACTGACCTGCGCTCTAGAGCCCGCGAGCCGCAACTACTAAGCCCACGTGCCACAACTACTGAAGCCCGTGTGCCTAGAGCCCGTGCTCCACAAGAGAAGCCACCACAATGAGAAGCCCACGCACCGCAACGAAGAGTAGCCCCCGCTCGCTGCAACTAGAGAAAGCCTGCGTGCAGCAACGAAGACCCCACACAGCCAAAAATAAATAAATAAATAAAATAAATTGGTAAAACCAACACTTAAAAAAAAAAAAGAATGGATAAACCATAAGGTCCTAATGTATATATAGCACAGGGAACTATATTCAATATCCTGTGATAAACCATAATGGAAAAGAATATTAAAAAAAGAATGTCTCTATGTGTATAACTGAGTCACTGTGCTGGACAGCAGAGATTGGCACAGCATTGTAAATCAACTATACTTCAATTTTTAAAAGTTATTAAAACCAACCTCACGCCTATTAGGATGATTATTATTTTTTTTTTTAAATATGAAAATAACAAGTGCTGGTGAAGATGTGGAGAAACTGGAACCCTTGCATACCACTGATGGGAAAGTAAAATGGTGCAACTGTTACAGAAAACAGTATGGAGGTTCCTCAAAAAAATCAAAAATAGAACTACCATACGATCCGGCAATTCCACTGCGGGAATTCCACACCCAAAAGAACTGAAAGCAGGGTCTTGAAGAGATTTGCACACCTATGTTCACAGCAATTATTCACAATAGTGGAATGGTTGAAAGGATAAATAAAATGTGGTGTAAATTATAGTGGAATATTATTCAGCCTTTGAAAGGAAGGAAAGCCTGTCACATGTGAAATAAGCACAAATACTGTATGATTCCACTTACTGGAGGCACCTGAAGTAGTAAAGCTCGCAGGAACAGGAAGCAGAATGGTGGCTGCCAGGCGCTGGGGAGAAGGGAAGAGGGGGTACAAAGCTTCTGATTCGCAAGATAAGCCCTAGAGATCTGTTTCACAATTATGTGAATACACTTAACACCACTGACCAACACTCTTAAAAACAGGTAAGATGGTAAATTTTATGTTCTGTTTTTTGTCTATCCCAATAAAAAATTTTTTAAAATGTTAAAACCACTTTAAAAGAGTGAATCTCACTTATATTTTACAACGGAACTGCAAATACGATATAATTATGTCTACTTTTACAGACAAGGGGGAAAGCCTTGAGACGTCAGAACGAGCTCGAAGTGCAAGAGGCAGTAAAAAGAGAGACAACAACCGGTCCTTGACTAGGCTGGATACTGGTCCGGCACTGCTGATACTGGTCCAGCACTGGACAAGGGGGCTTTATGTGGCTTAAAAAAATTAATCCCCTAATAAACTTTGAGATTATTACTAATATCACCATTTTCAAGAAAAAGGCAACAGGCTTAGAGAGGTAAAGGACTTGGGGTAAGATCAGATTTCGTAAAAGTCAAAGTCACATGTGACTCCAAAGCCCAAATCATTTCATCTTTTCCACACCGTTAAGCCTGAAAGCCCAATGTTGTCCTCTCCCTGACTTGGTTTTCTCATCAATTAAATGAAGTTTAAAATGGCATCTACTGTTCACAGTTGTTAGGAGAATTAAATCTCACAACACAAAGGGCTTTGAGAGTACAGCATTATCAGTGCATTACTCTGCATCTTCTGTGCTGGTGCAATGACTTAAACACCAGGGATCCAAAAATAACTGGGACAGAGCCCAGGCCACTGAGGAGCTCAGAGCTCACAGAGGACAAGCACATAAGTCCCAGCACCCACAGTTCCGGCTCCTGGTAGACTGGTCTAAGAAACCCCCAGTAAATTTCCTGTACAGTTTGAGGCTTAAATGATTCATAGGTTTATCTGCGACACTGAAAAACTGGGGACATGCTCAAAAGAAGGGAAATGAGCAAATAAAGTTTGGAACATCAAAATGAGTCACTGGGCTTCCCTGGTGGCGCAGTGGTTGAGAGTCTGCCTGCCGAGGCGGGGGACGCGGGTTCATGCCCCGGACTGGGAGGATCCCACATGCCATGGAGCGGCTGGGCCTGTGAGCCATGGCCGCTGGGCCTGCGCGTCCGGAGCCTGTGCTCCGCGGCGGGAGAGGCCGCAGCGGTGAGAGGCCCGCGTACCGCAAAAAAAAAAATGAGTCACTATACAAGCATTAAAAAATTGTGTTTGCAGAAAAGTTTTCATTCATACTGGAAAATACTCATTAATGCAAAAAAGCAACATGTACTATAAAGAGTTAAGGCAACTCCCAGTCTCAAAATGCAAGGATTTTCAAGATACATATTTTAAGTAATAAAAAAATGTATGGAAGAGTATGTAAAATACATTTTGATATAAAGCAAAAGAAAGATGCACGCACATGCACCTCCTCGTACACACAGAGGACCTGTGGGTGGTTACACAAGTGGGAACAGTGATTCACATAGAGAGAGTTAGGACTCATTTCCCGCCCATGTGAATCCCACCAAATGTACCCTGTATATTTTAGTTCAAATAGTAAATGAACATAAAAAATAACTATCTTAGGGCTTCCCTGGTGGCGCAGTGGTTGAGAGGCCCGCGTGCCGCAAAACAAACAGACAGACAAACAACCCTGTTAAAGAACTGCCCTAGCGCAGTTCCCAATATTCAGCAAGTAAACCACCTTCCCAATGACACACCAACAACACATCACAGGGGAAACTGACCAAATGTTCAGAATAGAATGATCAAAAACAGAGCATCAAAATCTTCAGGATGCAGCTAAAGGAGTGCTGGGTGCGTAGAGGGAATTAACGTTAAGCACTTATATTTAAAAGCTAAAAACATGAGTTGTCTATGTTTTTACCTTAAGAAATAAGAAAAACATTAGCAAATTAAACCCAAAGTAAGTAGAAGTTAAGACAGAACAAGGAACAGTGCTGGGGCAAAAGGAAAAATGAGTAATAATGATCCTGTCTTCATTTAAGTTTGGTATCATCCATCAGGGATTTTTTGCATTAAATCCTGACTTCTAAAAATGCTGCATTAACGTACTACTTATCTTAGGCTTCCCCGGTGGCGCAGTGGTAAAGACTCTGCCTGCCAATGCAGTGGACATGGGTTCGAGCCCTGGTCCGGGAAGATCCCACATGCCACGGAGCAACTAAGCCCGTGCGCCACAACTACTGAGACTGAGCTCTAGAGCCCATGAGCCACAACTACTGAGCCCACGTGCCACAACTACTTAAGTCTGCACGCCTAGAGCCCACGCACCGCAACGAAGAGCAGCCCCCGCTCGCTGCAACTAGAGAAAGCCCACGTGCAGCAAAGAAGACCCAACACAGCCAAAAAATTTAAAAACAAAAACGATTACTTATCTTGATTACTGAGATTTTGGGGTCCCTGAGACATGCCTCACCAGAGTCCTGCCCACACATACCCATCCCCACTCCACTGGCCCTGTCCACCTCAACCCCAAGGCTCCCCACACCCAGGCATCCAGGGCATATCACCTAGGGAGTTTGTGAAACTAGAAACATTTCTGCCCAAGGCACGTCAAATACAATCATGCAATTTTAAAAGTTCCCTTCTGAGAACAACAAGCTATTTAACACTTCTTTTCAAGGACCAAAAACACAGTAACTAAACTGTCAAAGCGTATCTATTTTATTTGAAACAGTTGCAATGCATTTTTTACACTGGACCAGCAAACTCTTGAATTCATAAATGTCGGACCTGAAATGAAGGAGGCAAGCCCTAAAAATGTGTGAGCAAAATCCATGCTTGATTATGGCTATTTGCACCTCCTGTG